TCTGCACCAGGCAGGACCCCTGGTGCAGACTGAGTGCCTGTTCTTGTGCTGCCATGATTAGTGCCTCTGTGCTGTCCTTCAGTCCAGCCTTTTCCAGCCACTGGTAGGATTTTTTTATATCAGCCACTTCTTCTATTTGTCTGTGGTAAACGCCGCACAGCGGCTTGTCCCTCCATGATGGTTCTCCTTCATCTCTCTTGTCCTCACTTTCAGTTTTCTTCTGCCTGAGGTATTCACCAAGCCATTTGTCTTTGGGGGCCATTTTTCTGATATACTCCTGGATCTTAGTTGTTTCATCCTGGACAGTGGTCTTAACACTCAGTAGCCCTCGGCCTCCCTTGCTATGCTTGGTACACATTCTCAGGGTGCTGGATTTTGGGTGAAATCCTCCATGCATTGTGAGGAGCTTTCTCATCTTGATGTCAGTAGCCTCCATCTCCTCTTTTGGCCAGTTTATTATACCAGCGGGGTATCTGATGACTGGCAGGGCATATGTGTTGATGGCTTGGATCTTGTTTTTCCCATTCAACTGGCTTTTCAAGACCTGCCTTACTCTTTGTAGGTATTTAGCTGTGGCAGTTTTTCTTGCCATCTTCTCGTCGTTTCCGTTAGCCTGTGGCACCCCAAGGTATTTGTAGCTGTCCTGAACATCTGTTATGTGGCCTTATGGTAGTTCAACCCCCTCGGTTTTGATCATCTTCCCTCTCTTTGAGACCATGCAACCGCACTTGTCCAGTCCGAATGACATTCCAATGTCGTTGCTATAGATCCTGGTAGTGTGGATCAGTGAGTCAATGTCTCGCTTACTCCTGGCATACAGCTTGATGTCATCCATGTAGAGGAGGTGACTCAACTCAACTCAACTCAAACTTTATTTATAAAGCACATTCAAAACAACCGGGGTTGACCAAAGTGCTGTACATGAATCACAGTTAAGGAACATAAGATAAAAGCTAAGGCTAAAATATATAAACACATAAAAATAGAATAAGACTCATGATTGTTCCGCTTCGGAATTGGTATCCCTAGCCAGTCTTTGTGATGATCTGGCTGAGGCGGTTCAGGCCTATGCAGAACAGCAGCGGAAATAGTGAATTGCCCTGGTATATGTCGCACGTGATGGTGACTTGTGCTATTGGCTTTGCATTGGCTTCCAGAGTTGTTTTCCACAGCTTCATTGAGTTCTTGATGAAGGCTATTAGAGTCCTGTTGATCTTGTACATTTCCAAGCATTCCAGTATCCATGTATGTGGCATTGAGTCATAGGCTTTCTTATAATCAATCCAGGCAGTGCACAGATTTGTCTGCCTGGTCTTACAGTCTCGAGTGACTGCTCTATCCACTAGTAGCTGGTGCTTGGCTCCTCTGGTGTTACTGCCTATTTCCTTCTGGGAAGGGTGCATGTATTGAGCCATGTGCCTACTCATCTTAGCTGCTATGATGCCTGACAGGAGCTTCCATGTTGTACATAGGCAAGTTATTGGCCAGTAGTTGGATGGGATTGTTCCCTTCTGGGGATTCTTCATGATCAGGATTGTCCGTCCTTGGGTTAACCATTCTGGGTGGGTCCCATCCATCAGTAGTTGGTTCATTTGTGCTGCAAGGTGTGCATGAAGTGCGGTTAGTTTTTTCAGCCAGTAGGTGTGCATCATATCAGGGCCTGGTGCTGTCCAGCTCTTCATACCTGCCGCTCTTTCTTGGACATCTGCCGTTGTAACGTTACTGGTTCTTGTTCTGGGAGATTGCTGTGATCTGTTCTTAGATCTTCTAGCCACTAAGCATTGGTGTTGTGGGATGCCTCCTTCTCCCATATGTTCCTCCAGTACTGTTCAGTCTCAGCCCTGGGTGGAGCTGATCTTGAATTACCCTGCCACTGTGAGTACACTTTGGATGGGTTGGTGGAGAACACCTGGTTTATTCTCCAGGCTTCTGCTTCTCCCTTGAAGCAACCAGGGCTGCTGGTGGATCATCTGTTTAAACGATGAAGGAGGGACAAAGACAGTTATTTAATGTAAATATCCTGCTAAACATCTGCTAGCTGATGTTAACCATCTGAGGACTATAGTGTTTTCCTGTTGCCTGGACTGGTTTGTAAAGGTAAAATCTCAGCTCTGTGAGATTTCTGGCTTAGTTACTTGGGCTCTGTGTTATTTACAGAGACACAATAGCCTAATTAAATGCTGAATTGATTCTGGTTTATTTTTTCTTATAAAAACTAAAAACAAAGCGCAACAAAATAATAAAAAAACTTTCAGTCATGCTCCGTTTTTCAGACAGTACCTGTTGGGATCTGGAGGCTTTGTCCACTTTCTCCACCAGAGGGCGCACAAGATCTCCTAGGGGCATGAGCTGACTGCAACACCTGTCTTCCATCTGCTCATCAGGAGGCCCTATTTAAGGAGGAGGAGGCTAACACTTCCCTGCCAGAGTGTTTGCCAGTAATGGTAGAGCTAGACCTGAGCCAAACAACCAGATCTGAATCTCTGACTTTTTGAACCTGCCTGACCCTGTTTCTCTCTGCCTCACAGATAGAGTCCTGTCTGAAGACCTGAAATCCTGGAGAGTGATCTCTGTCTGGAATCTGCCTGCCTGCACTCAGTGATATCTTGAAGAGTTTCTCTGTCTGGAATCTGCCTGCCTGCACTCAGTTAAGCCTCTGCCTCTGCCCTCAGCGCTCCGCCTGCCGACTAGTCTCTGGACCCTCAAGGTTCCCCCCCTCTGCAGCTCCGTTCCACCCTTGAGCAGGTATAAACTCCTACTTCAGAAAACCTGCAGTTAACCTGGATCAAACACTAACCTCTCTGTACTCCTCAGTGGTGATTCCCTCGTGACCAGTCTGCCAAACCAAGGACAAGTTTACATTTCGTTGTACATTTTGTAAATAAACCTTTGAACTCTTTTTCTCTGCCTCCTGAGTGTTTCCTGCATGTGGGTTAGACGACTAGAACCCAACATGACAGTACCCAGCTGGGCGGCATCATTAATGAGGTGATTCCTCTCTGACATTGAGGAAGAATAACTAAGTAGTTGTATCCAGCAGATAGCTATCTTATTTTACTCCACAGGTTAACAATCCAAAATGAATTGATGAACTATTCAGTTAGGAGGACAAACTGGATCACGTTATCAGATGCCTTCTCTCTCTTTCTCCTTCCTTTCCCTTCCCTTTTGAAGATATATATATATATATATATATATATATATATATATAAAATGTTTACATATTTGTTTTACAATTTTGGTATAATTGCTGCTCAAAATGGGTCACTGTCAGTTAAAGACATGTTTTAGAGTCTCTATATTCCAGTTAAGGATGAAATGATAACTCAATTAGTGGATTTTTTTAGCAGCATGATTTTTTCTTATGATAAATAAGTGGAATGGAGTTGAGTTTTAATGTCTGTCATTTTTTACAGTGAAACATTGCGGAATTAGTGTGAGTGTGTGAAGACACTGAGATGTGCGAGTCTCACACCCAGTGGGTGAGAGCTGACAGCCCTGTAAAGATAAACCAACTAAAATCTAGTTGTCGTAGCCCTCCTTGAAAGGATGATCAAGTTTCTCTCTGGCTCCGATATGCCAAAACCGTGACAATACATATTAAGTATATTTTCAGTCTGCCAATCAGAGCTAAAGCTGCAGCAACCAGAGAGCCAGGTGGCATTTAGCAGCCAGTAAAGCATGGATTCTGAGGAGGGTGTTTATTTAGACCCAGAAACCTCTGAAGATTTCAAAACATGCAGCTGAAGTCCAAACAAAACATAAATAATGTATATTTCAGTTTCTAAATTAGCAACCACCAGTTTAATTGCAAAATAACATTTAAATTCAGGTTTACTAGTTGGAAGCAAATGCAGGGAGATTTCTATGAGAGTACCAAACAATATACAAAACTTCACTCAAAGAAAAACCAAGAAAGGTGGGTGAAATTGGTAGAATCCAGGGAGGAAACCTAAACGCATAAATAATTGGAAGAGAATTACTGGAATTCAAGACTGGTGAGTTCTAACTCAATGCTTGTCAGCTTTTAGGGGATGAGGTGATGAGAGGCTGAACCTGAACCAAAAGCCAAAAGAAACATAACTCAACCAAACGTGGGAATTAATTCAAATACTGACAAAAAGGTGGAGATGGTGCTCAGAAACAGTAATAAAAAATAAAATCTCACAAAGGGGGAAGTGTTGGCCTTGTGGCTTACAGCAGTGCGCTCTAGGTTGACAGTACCTGGTTCAACCCCCACTGCCTTCACTTCGGGTTTCTGAGGAAGACCCTTAACCCCCGATTGCTCCCAAGGCGCTTCACAATGGCAGCCCACTGCTCCCCAAGGGGGTTAAATGCAGAGATAAATTCCACCAATGTGAATAAATACATCACAGAGAGACTTCAGCATAAAACATTAACTAAGAATCTCAAACATTCAAACCAGTCTTGATGAAAAACATGTAATATCCACATTTGTTTACAAAGAAAAACAATTTTGCTATGTACATCTAAGTCCTAAAACTTTTTTTTTTGTTAGCCTATTTATTTATGTTGGTTTGCAACATGGGCCCCGTTTCAGAAAGTGGGATAAGTCAGAACTGGAATAAGTTCTGGAGTAAATCCCTACATACCCTTGAGTTTTGGATTCAGAAAGCCGAATAGCTGTTATCCCGAGACAAATTAATGACCCAAGTTACTCCAACGTGTTATAGTTAGAGTGGCTCAGGTTATCCTCAGCAATCTCTTATAGTTATGCTGTTATAGGCTTAGGCTGCCGGAGGACATAGGGACCACTTTTCCCCTTTATGCTTCATTGTACTTCTAAAGCATTAAGTGAATGTAGACAATTTTTGGGGATGGCCTAAATGCAGAGCGAAATTTCTCCAATGTGAGATCAATAAAGTGCAAATATTAATATCAATTATTATTACAGATACTCAATCAAGGAGAGAAAAATGATGGTAAGGTTGTAAAGTAAGTCATTGTAAAGTAAACTGAAGGAAACTTGACCAAGCATGAATTGTCCACATACATCACAGTTAGTATTTTCTCTTTTTATTAAAACTTGACATTCAAAAGCGACAAATATAAAATTACAATAAGTTTTTTCTTTAAACAGTCGTCTTAATATTGTGCCATCAGACCAGGCTTGGAGTGGGGTGTGATGTTTTGTTCACTTCAGAGGTGTCAGCACTGGCTGTGGGAGCATGACAAGTAGAGGTACAGCAGGATGAAGCAGTCAATCAAGACGATGGTATAGAAGCACTTCTGCGTCTGCAGGCTCCGCCCCCTCTGAAAGCGAGTTAGCAGAACAGCCAGCAATAGGAAGAAGGTGGAGGTGTTAAGGAGCAGAAACAGTCTAATGTAGGAGGCGGCACCAGAGTCTCCCTCACTCCTTGCTGTGGCCACCATGTGAACCTGCTTGAATCGACGACCCTTAACAAACCCCCCCCTTCCTGTTTCTCTGGCCTTCTGGATAGTCCATGAAGGCCCTAGTATCTGCGTCCCCTTCCTCTGGGCTCTCCTCATACATACGCTTTGGTGTCCTCTGTCTCTCATTCTTCTCATTGACTTCAATCTGAGCAAAAATGTCAGGCAAATTCTCAGAGAGCTTCTCTCCAAGGTTTCTCTTACCCCCTTTGCCTTTGCGTTGTTTCTTGGACATGGCAAACATCTTTTTGATAACCTCCTCCGTCTTCTTCTTGTCGGAGAACTGGAGGAGGCGCTCAGCAGTCTTACGGAAGCTGGCAGTGTTGAGGACCCGCCCCAGGATGTGTCTCTCCATCTGCTGGAAGACAGGTTTGACGTGCTGGAGGTTGTCCTCCATCACATTGACATATTCTTCAACTTCTGGGGGAGACTTGTTCTCCATGGCTGCTGCTCTCTCAAACACAATCTTTTTGCGGTCCAGCAGCACCATGGCAAAAAGAGGCTTGCTGGGCACCTCCCCTGTCAGAAGGTAAATGGTGTATGTGTGGTCTTTGGTAGAGAGGTAAATATCCACACGCTGATCATCTCCACGTAGGCTGAAGCTCTGTACATCCAGGCCTGGTCCAAAGAAAATATAGGCCACCCTTGTGTATGGGTACCTCAGTGGCATTGTAACATTGACATAGTTGGAGCCATTGTAGGGGTACCCCCTAGGGTAACTCCAGTAACCCACCATCCCTTTGTTACTAGAGTTTGTGTCGTCCATCCAGAACATCTTATATTTATCCTTCCCATGTGTTACAAATGCTCCATGAACATCGTCAACTTTCAAACTCTGAAATGGTAGCTCTGTATTGTGAAAGAAGGCGCTCATGGCCCTGGCAGGGCTCTCTGAATCTAGGTGGATATGATCAACCATGAGCAGGAGCTGCGGGTGAAGAAGGAGCAGGTTCCTCTGGAAGTTCCTGATCTTTAGTTCTGGGTTATAAACAGAATGTCCCTCACCTCGGATAAAGACCATCCCCTCTTTCAGAATAGCAGCTTCTACTCTGCCCTGGGCATCAGCTGCGAGCCCCACCTTGAACTTCAGCCACTTAGAGTCACAGGCTTCGGTTACTTGTCCAGCCCACGGTTTAAAGCAGCTCCCTGAGAGGGTTGAGCCAAACAACAACACATTGTTCAACAAAGTGTACTTGGGTCCATACAGTGCCTCTGTGATAAATGGGACACCGTTGGGTGCGAAGGTGAAAGAGTTCTGATCAGGGTGCTCGTGACCGGCGTTAAAGTTCCTCCAGCCTTTGATCCACTCTTTGTACTTGTTGTTGTGAACAATGTCAAAGATGGCACGTCCCCCCAGTTTCCCGGACTTGAAGGAGAGAAAGGAGTTGTTGGTCCCAGAAGGCAAAGTGCTGCCGTACGTCACCACCCCCCAATCCTCGAAATAGTGGAGCTGAGACGTTCCGAAATCTGCTGGCGGTTTTGGAATCAGGCCAGGGTCATACCTGCATCACAAAGGAAAGTCAATAATTAGACGGAGAACAAAAATAAGAGCCAACCAAAGAAATACCTTGAAATGCTGTCAAACTCGACATATGGCTGGTCATTGATGGTGACCATGCATTAATCTATTGTCTAATCTAAGATCGTTTTGCTAAAATAAACCAAACCGTCATCCAACCACATTCTCCAGCTTAATCTTGGCTTTTCAAGGCCAGAAGGAATAATTAACGCTCCAAAAAGTTCTAGGTCTGTCTAGATGTATCCCTCTAGTGGGATAAATATATCAACAGTAAAAATACTTTAAAAAGCTGCTATAAATGTATTGTTAGTAGCTGACCTCATGCAGAATTACTTCATCCACTCAAGCATTTAAATAAACACCTATTGGATTGTCAGTCGGCATAAACTACCCCAACTTAACAAGTTTATTCCTCCAAGAGTGGTCTCTTCTTTATTGTACACGGAGCTGGCCACCCTAAATATAACCAGTGTTAATGGAAATATGACTTCCTATCCATATTAATAATGCTATTAATGCTGCAGTTTTAATCAGTCAGCGTTTTAATGAGTCTGGATTGCCCTCGTATGGCGGCCAAACTCTGACATTATGATAGTTTATAGAGGATATAGATACACAGATAAATAAAGGCTCAATAAATGAACAGCCAAACAATAAATGGCAAATGAAATACATAAATAAATAAGTTTAAGCATAATATAATTATACAACGAGCATTAATTGTATAAACATATTTTAATTAGCTTATTCATTAATTAACTTTTGTAATTTTTTTCCATCCATCCATCCATCTTCCTCCGCTTATCTGGGGTCGGGTCGCAGGGGCAGCAGCTTAAAGGAAAAGTACACCCAAAACATGATTAGCCTTCATTTTCTACTCACCCCCATGCTGAACAACACTCTGGAGTACTTTTTTGATATCTCAAATGCATCTGGAGATCTGGGAGGCTTCTTGCTGTCTGCTGACATTCAAATAATGGAGGTCTATGGTGTCCGAGACAGAAAGGTCCATAAAAGTCCACAAAAAACGTGTCAATATTCCTCCATACTGCTCGTCCAATGTATTCCAAGTGTCCTGAGTGGGTAGCATCCAGAATTTACTCGAAACGAAGTCATTTAGAATGTTTTTAGAGCATAAACAGTAGTGTATAGGATTTCCTGAAAGCGCGCACATGCGCTCTCACGACGCTACGGAAGCCGGCAGACCAAACCAGATGAAAGTGCGCATTCAGCGTCTGCTCTGCCGATAATGCAAGCGTAGAAGAAGAAATGTGCTGTTTACCTGTGAAAAGAAAGAAACAACGAAAGAAAAATGTCTGAGGACTTCAGTGTTGAGGAAGAGCATGAGTTCTTTGCCGAGCTGAATGCGCTGGTTTGGTGTGCCGGCTTCCGTAGCGTCGTGATTGTGCATGTGCGCGCTTTCAGGAAATCCTATACACTACTGTTTATGCTCTAAAAACATTCTAAATGACTTCGTTTCGAGTAAATTCTGGATGCTACCCACTCAGGACACTTGGAATACATTGGACGAGCAGTATGGAGGAATATTGACACGTTTTTTGTGGACTTTTATGGACCTTTCTGTCTCGGGCGCCATAGACCTCCATTATTTGAATGTCAGCAGACAGCAAGAAGCCTCCCAGATCTCCAGATGCATTTGAGATATCAAAAAAGTACTCCAGAGTGTTGTTCAGCATGGGGGTGAGTAGAAAATGAAGGCTAATCATGTTTTGGGTGTACTATTCCTTTAAGAAGGGAGGCCCAGACTTCCCTCTCCCCAGCCACTTCTTCTAGCCCCTCAGGAGGAACCCCAAGGCGTTCTCAGGCCAGCCGAGAAACATAGTCTCTCTGTTGCGATAGCACAACAAAGATGGTTGCCGACCATGGGTTTACCAAAATGCTGAGCTGGGGCACATAGCAGCGTTTTTCTCTTTAAACAATGCTGTAATTCACGATTTTATATGAGCTGCACACATGGATACAGCTGTCAGTCTGCTAAACTCCTTCCCATCTGTCACTTAAATTACATATAAGGCTTTAGCTTTTAAATTCATGTATTAAACAATTTACACAAAAAGCGTTGAATTATGGAGATATTATAGCTCTAGGCTAACTTTGATTTATTGGGAATAAGCCAAAGAATTGCTCTAAATTATAAAGTCTGTCAACTGCTGGATTAAATACCAGAGGCATACCCATTTTTTCTCACTCTGGAAATAAAGAGAAAAAACTTGGGTGCATTGCTGCTTTATATTAAGTTGGGAAAAATTATGATAAAACACTTGACAGCTGCCTATCTCCAGCTGTCAATGGGTGAGAGGCGGGGTCCACCCTGTAAAGGTCACCAGTCCATCACAGGACAAACAACCATTCATGCACACCTAAGGAGAATGTAGAGAAGCCAATTGACCTAACAGCAGGGGTGGCTGGTCAATAGAGGGCGATAGGGCACCTCTCCACCCAACCAATGACCCTGATGTAGACATAAAAAAAAAATAAAGATTTTTTTTTCATAATTTAAATGTATGTTATCTTAAATTTTAAAATGAAATAAAAAATATTTTTAAATGTATTCATATATATTTTTACATGGAAAGATAAATATTTAATATTTAATGACTATTCAGGACCTGACATTTAGAGCCCATATCAGAAAGGTAGAATTTCCTTCTTTCGTCTACAGAATATTGCAAAAATTAGAAATATCCTGTCCACGGGTGATGCTGAGAAACTAGTCCATGCATTTGTTACTTCAAGGCTGGACTATTTTGGACTTTCTTATTAGGAAGTCCACAAACCTTCAGCTGATCCAAAATGCTGCAGCCAGATTTCTGATGAAAATTAAAAAGAGAGATCATATCTCTCCTATCCTGGCTTCTCTTCATTGGCTTCCTGTTAAATCCAGAATAGAATTTAAAATCCTCCTTCTCACATATAAAGCCTTAAATGGCCAAGCTCCATCTTATATCAGAGATCTGATTGTTCCTTATGTTCCTAACAGAGCACTTCGCTCTCAATCTGCAGGTTTACTAGTGGTTCCTAGAATTTCTAAAAGTAGAATGGGAGCCAGATCTTTTAGTTATCAGGCTCCTCTCCTGTGGAACCAACTACCAGTTTTAGTCCGTGAGGCAGACACCCTGTCTACTTTTAAGGCTAGGCTTAAAACTTTCCTTTTTGATAAAGCTTATAGTTAGAGTGGCTCAGGTTATCCTGAGCTATCTCTATAGTTATGCTGCTATAGGCTTAGACTGCTGGAGGACATAGGGACCCCTATTTCATAATTCTGCTTCATTCTATCTCTAATCTCCTATTCTGCATAATCTATTAGTTCAATCTCTAACCTTCTGCTCTCTCTGCTTTTTCTCATAGTAGCTTCATCTGGTCTGTTCCTGTTTGGCTGTGACTCCATCCTGGAGAGAAATATCAGCTGTGCTGCTGCCATCAACACCTTTGTTTATAGATGCTGGAGATCTGCCTGTTTTCCAGTGTGGTCCTGTTTCTCTGAATGTGACTAACTGGATGTGCTCTCTTCATCCTCTGGCATGGGAGCTGGCTCGGAGCTCGTCTGCCTGGCTGTGTGTTTCCGGGACGGGGCCGCCTTTTACAGCTGCCTTTTGTATCTATGCTTCTTTTTCTATCTCTGCTTCTGTCTCCTTGAACCCCAGTCGGCCTCAGCAGATGGCCGCTCACACTGAGCCTAGTTCTGCTGGAGGTTTCTTCCTGTTCAAAGGGAGTTTTTCCTCTCCACTGTCACAACAAGCATGTTTGGTGTGAGGGATTCCCTTTGAGTCAATAGCTACGTTTACATGCGCAAAATTTCCCTGATCCGATCCAAACCTTGGTTGATCGGAAATTCAAAATCTCCGTTTACATGGACACTAAATGAAATGATCCGATCATGACGTGTGTATATATGTACCAAGCGTTGGATCAGATTAAATCTTTTAAGCATGCGCAGAACTTCCTGCCAAACTTGGCAGTTCTGTCTGCGTCTGGTTTTTGGGAGGCCTGACAAACGATGCGCTCGGAGCGAGCGGAAAGAAAAAAGGAGAGAGGAGGAAAAAAGCGCTTGGCAGTGAAATGTCCGAGAGAAAATGTAGAGGATGAGCGATTGAACCGGCGTGGGAGAGCGAGTGGGCTGTGGAGAGAGAAAAGAGGAAGAGGAGGAGGATAAATTCCTGCTTCCTGCAGCTTTAAATGAACTTGAGTGTATAAGTCGGCGTTCCTAGACTCCTCCCGCCATGTTGTTCACAACAAGAGCGAGAGCGACCGGTGGTTTCCTGTTGTTGACAAGGCGGAAAAACGTCACGCTGACGTCGCACACATGCGCAGTGAAGATTATTTTACTCTTAAGATCCGAATGGGTGTTTACATGGACGCCAATCGGAATGGCGATCGGCAAAAACCACCTCTCTCATTCGGAATTAAATTTAGATCCGATCGGACCGAATCGGATTAGAATCTTCAGTCTGACATGTTTACATGAAACATTTTTGATCTGATCAGGCCTTCAATCCGATTAGTTGTGTCCATGTAAACGTAGCTAATGAGTCGATGCAATCAACTGGTTTTCCTTAGATAGAAAACTTTGGATCAATTTGGATGATCTGGTGAACTGGAAAGTGCCTTTAAATGACATGTGTTGTGAATTGGCGCCATAGAAATGAACTGAATCGAAATTGAATTGAGTAGCCAAGCAACATTCCATTTTTCCTCAGATTGGTGACGTATTTCCATCCAAGGGCTCAGAAAACTTTGACCATTGAATCGTGTTAAAAGTTGTACATGCGCAGTAGCTCCTCTGCAATACAAAGCTATAGGAGAGCTCAGGGCGCAGCTAAGCTGCGACCTGAGGTGGCAGGAATTGTATTTGCTCACCACCTGCCTCCACAGCGCAGATGTTTTAAGGTTGAGTCGCGGGAGTTTGAGACACATTGAAAAGAGAGAGAGAGAGAGAGAGAGAGAGAGAGAGAAATGGATAGA